GAGAAGTTAGGAACGAAGGGGAGAAGGGAGAAGAACGTGAGAAAGGAATGGAGACGAAAAAGCCGCTTTCAATCAATTTCTCTTTTATTGAAGCAGTAAGTACTTATTAGTAATGTATATATGCTAAACCCGTGGGAATAAGTCATTGTCTTAAAAACAATGGGGTGCATACATAATTAATGAAATTGAATGCATAATTATGTATGGGGTTATATGGTACTCTTTCCCTTAGGCCTTGTTTACAAGCAAGGAGGGTAACCCTTGTGCTAGGGTTACCCTAGCAGGCGGGTCAAAGATAGCCCGGGTTTGCAAGTAAAATTTCACAGGTAGGGTTACCCTACCACCCGGGACAACTTACCAATGCTTGGTAACCGCACGCATTGTTATCAATGTTCAAAGGGTCTGGAAACAAGTAAAAAGTTGTCTCTGGTAGGCGAGTTATCCCCACCAGAGCGTTTACAAAGCAGCTAGGGTTACCCTAGCTGCCTTGTAAACACGTCGATGAAAAAAAGAAGAAATGTGGGAGCGTTAGGGTAATCCTCCTGCCAGGGTAACCTTAGCACTAGGGTTACCCTACCTGCTTGTAAACAGGGCTTTAGTAGGGGGAGACTGGGACTGATAGTAGAACGGTAATCTGCATAGCAATTGTAAATAGAGGAAAGGGTCTGCTACGTGGAGCCTTCGAAATAGATCGTTGGAACAATCATCTTAGACGATAAGGGAAGACTTTACTGAAGGATTTTTTGACATAATTATTTAAAAATTAAGTTATTTAAAAGTTAAGTTTTACCCCGATATAAATTGCCGGTGCGATATGATATATGACGGGTCTTCTCAGAGGTGAGTGTCAGAAAATTTCTCGGCGAAGGCTGAATAACATTTGAACAACAATTTATGTCGCGTAAACATTACGGCAACATGATATGAATTTTAAATACAACCTTCACTCACATTTCTGATTAGATAACTGTTACTTTTCTCATCTTCACCTTCACATTGTTATGTCTTCCGGAGGCAAAAATCGTGAGTCCGCAAGAACGGCTACACTCTCGGCCCAACATGCACTGTAGTGCGTATGTAATTCCTACTTTTAAATTCGATTTATTCTCATACTCTTTCCGTTCCCTATTCCCCGTTCATGGTTTTAGAAACATCATATGCTCCGTGTGTTTTGGTGAAATGCTTTGCAAAGAAGACAATTTTTGATGGATATTGTTCGGGAATGAGTTAGTCTGGTGATCATTAGCGGTCAAACAAAAGTGAGTTACAAGAGCAGGTCGGCATTTAAAAAGCACTTAACAAGCTTTCCATCCGTTATTAGATAGGCTACCCTGTAGTATAGCATCATTTCTACCAATCAATACTACTGATCTCGATTCGTCTTGAATGACCTCGAGCCCACCATGGCTAAAATTCACAACGCGCGCAAGGGGGAGGGGTTGGGATTGGAACCGAGGCAAGGAGGGGAGGGATAGATAGAGGATTAAAGAAAAATATGGCAAACTTAAAATTATAAATCTCTTCAGGCTCCACGTGCAAAGCGAAGTTTTGATACTTTAGTTAATTTTCGATGTATTTCCCGGAGAATTTGGAAAACCGACATTCCAAATTCCAATTCGATCTGGAAACAGTGAACAAAAAGAGCCACTCAGTGGAATGTCCATTGCTAAATTATTATTTATATTTTTTATTTATTTTATTATTTAAATCA